TATACTCCACCTCTGCAGTCATTTAGAGCTGCTTCCTTGTTGTTGTTTTGCTGTTTCCTCATCTCTGGCTCCCCGCGTGAGTTTTTCCTGATGTTTTCTGTTTTTGTACTTTGGATTACTGCCTCATTTCTGTCTTTAAATCTGTAAGACTCACCTCTGCCTCCTGATCTCTCAAAAACCTCCACCCAACTGTGACAGTAATGTTCAAACACAGTTAAGTTTTTCTACGTTAACATTTTCAGACATTTCTAACGAATCATGTTTGCAAAAAGCTTCTGTTAATAGGAAATATTCCAAGGTTACACATATGTGGCGCACCAAGCTGATTCCCACAAAGTATTTTGTTTTTCCTCCTTCAGTTTAAAACTAACATTCTTCCTTAGATTCTTTGTCTGACCTTTTTAATGGCCAAGGAGGTAAATAAAGTTTTGCTTAGTAAAATAAATTAAAGGCATCAAAATAGGATAATTACAAGTGTCACAAAATAAAATGCCATTATGAAATAAAGACAATTTAATAAATATGCAAGATTTAAATAACAAAATAAATGCATACATAAAGCTTAACATTCATTAATGATAAAATTTAAATGTATTAATAAAATATTTAAAGCATGAAATTAATAAATACGTAAACATAGAATAAATATATAATCTAAAAATATTTTGCTGTATTTCAGTAATTTTCATTTATTTGATAGGATATTTATTGATAATTTGAATAAAGCAATTTAGTTGTTTTATTTTGAATAAAAAGGCTCTCCATACTGGGACGAAAGAAGTAGCAAAAAATGATATGCATAAAAAAAAAGCATTGGTTTGACAGATTCTCCACTTGTATATAAACATTATTCTATAGAAATAGAATTTTAGGTTTGGTTTCTTTCCACAGGAGGCAAAAGTTTGACCGTTTTAAATAAAAGGACAAAGGTTTAAAGCTCTATTTTTGTCTTTTCAGGCCGACAGTTTTCTGTCAGAGGCCCAATTTTCTGCCGAGTCACCAGAAACCATCGATCCATTGTTCAAGTTCCACGAAACCATCGCCAAGGTAAGGCTGTGAGCTCGCATTTTACTCATTTCTAAGGATCAGGAAAGATTTGACTTTCTAATCGTTTTATTAACCAAACAGATTTAAAAATATTTATTCTTCTTATATAAGTGAGGCTGAATAAAGTCTAAAGATTCCCTCTCAGTCCCACCTGGTGAGGAAAAAATATAACAAGATGTGTTTGATAGATTTGAGAGAGATGAGAAATAGAATGATGTGATTTCATTGTGAAAGAAAATGGGAATTGTATACTTTTAAACAGTGATTGAGTATTATTGTGTATTAGTGTGTTTAATAAGTTAAAGTTTGCTGGTGAAGATTCTCAGTCATCCAGGTCATAGTCATTCCAAAAATGTTTTTAAAAAAAAGAAAAATACCAATCCACTGTACTTTATTTCCACCCCTTTGGACTTGGTGTTGTTTGGTTTCTTTGTTAACCTCCAATACCCGGAACATGTCTATGTCTCTGAAAGGGGGGCCCTTAATCGATTTAGTTGATTCCTTCCAGCTATCATTGCAACCCCAACCCCTTTACAGGAGAACAGAAGACCTCGCCTCTTCAGCCAAGCCAACTATTCCCTATAATGACCCCCCCCCCTTTCAGAGACTTTGAAACTTTTTTGGAATCAAAGTTAAAATGCTAAAAAAAAGTCATGTGATAATGACCGAACTGACTTCATGTGCAAGAAGATGCTCATTTCCCTGAAATCCTACCAGCAACGCTTGCTGCTTGCCCTAATGGCTGTTTGTTTACTCTCTGACAGCAGCAATCATCACAGGCTGCTAATTAGTTTTTGGCGAGTGGTGGACTAGTGGTGAGAGCATAGAGCTTGGAATCCAGAAGCCCTGAGCCACACTCTCACAGACCGCCACTTTAGGTCCCCCAAGCAAAGACCCTTAAGTCCCACACTGCTCCCCGGGCGCCGTACAATGGCAGCCCACTTCTCCCCATGGGGATGGGTTAAATGCAGAGAGTAAATTTAGTTGCTCTGTACTGGTGACAGTGGAATGACTATAAAAAAGCTAGAAAGAAAAGATTTGCTCCCCTGGTTGCATGAAATGCTCTGTTGGTTCAATGGCCTCTGTGCTTGCCGTAGTCCTCTCGTCTATCTGCAGTCTGCTAAACTTAAAGTCAAGGAAACCAAAATTTGAATGTGAAATAAAACACAGGAGCCAGACCACATATATATAAATATATATATATATATCTGGGCTCATGTACCTTGCAGGGCGCGACATACAGAGTAAGGAAACACTTCACAGGTCACATGATCAAACCCTGTAAAGATGCCTCGCCCTGAGTTTGAATTGATTCAATGATTTTCAGGTAACTTACTCAGTTGTGTTGAGCTGAGGTGACCAGTTTGTTTTTAATCAACACAACAAAATAAATTACAGTAAAGTTTGATATACAACCAATAACAACTCGATTAAGTAGATCAGGTTTTATTTTCAGTTCACAGGTACATGGAAAAATAAGGAACAGTTTGAAATCAACTTTAGGAACATATTTCATCCACCTGCTCACCTTAACCCTATGACTACTGCAGGCTGCTGCAGCTTTGAACATGTTCCAGTTAGATCATTCAAAACAGTCCTGGAGTGAGTTTCTCTATGGCCCCCTCAGACCACACTCTGACTTCTTTAACTTTTGGTTTAGCCCTGATAATCTGGGGCCTGTATACAGGAATTAGCATGGCAGAAAGGTGATCTGATGACCCGAGGTGGAGGCGGGGATCGTTGATGTTAGAATAAGATAAATCTAAAATGTTTTCACCCAGAGTTGTAAAGTCCACATGTTGGTAGAAATGAGGGAGAACAGTCTCCAAGTTAGCCTGGTTAAAATCCCCAGCAATGATGAAAACACCCTCTGTGTGCAGATTAAAGCTCAGAATCTCAGAATGAAGCCATGATTCAGTCAGGATGATGGCGCAGCAGCAACTAATCTCTTTTTGAAGAGAGTTTGATTATCCATTTGTTATCCAGTGAGCTAACATTGGATAGCAGGATTGATGGGATTGGTGTTCTGTGGTAATTCCTCCTTAGCTTCGCCGTTAGCCCGCCTCTGCAGCCCCCCTTACGTCATCACACACTGCTTCCTCCGGCTTTCTCCTGGGCCTGGCCTGCTCCCTTGTTTGTGCTGATAGGTTTTTAAGAAAATCGTTTTACTCTGGATCCACCCTTTCACTGAATTACAGGGTCTGACCAGGAGATGGCGCTTCTCTTTAGAACTTAATGTCCATAAAATCATGACAGAATACTTTAGGTTAAAAAATTGATGTTTAAAAAAGGAATCTTAGAGGACCAGCCAAGGGCCCATCAAGGAGAGTGCGGACATTTTGAATGGCTATTACTAATTAACCCATCTATAATTTAATTGTTTTTTTGTTTTTCTGCTGCTAGAATCAGCAACCAGCAGCGTCCTCCATAATTCTCCAGTTTGTTTTAATAAAATAAGTCTCATTCAGACCTTTATAGGAGTTTTAAAACCCTCTTCTTTTAATTTGTCTATCACAGAAATTCATTTGAATAAAAGTCTTAGTACTCTACCGTGTCAACAGCCTTATAGCAACCGTATGTTTTTCAGCCTGATATCAGCCGTGGTGAAGCACACAGTAAACACTGAGGATGAGTGTCGTATTCATTAACAGCTGCTCGTTATGCACATCCTTATTAAGTAGATGTCTGAGAACCAGTGGCAACAGCCATTTTTATATACAGCCAGCCTCAAAGCCAGCTCCTGTCACTCACTTAGTTGGTGCATGGGCTGAAACAGCAGAGTTATTAGCTAAGTACAGCATAAAACATCCACTTTTATCTCCGTCAGTCAAACCCTGTCCTATTTAATTGTAAAAACTAGAGCTAATATAGGCAGTGCGGCAGCGGTTTATTATTTTTTCTCTCTCTCTTTAGCGATGTAGCAGATCTAATTAGAAAGACTGCAGCTATTTTTTCAGGATCATATTTTTAAATTTTTACAAAGGGCAGATTTTCCTTTCCCCCCCCAAAAAGGAAAGGAAATCACCTGCTGGTCAGAATGCCATGTTTTATTTTCATTGCAGGAATAATTTATCCTTTTTCCTGCTTTGACATCTTTATAAAAGTCTAATAAAACACACAGAGCTTACGTAAGCTGTTGTCATATTAAAATTTCCATCTCATGTAACTGGGCCTTTTTAACATAGCCCTGACTGTTAAGAGGAACACTCTCATTGCTTATAAATGTCACCAGTTAACAATAGTTATCACCTCTGTGGGAAAGCTGTCGGCGCTTACAAATTACATAAGGCTATGTGACATTTTCATTATCTTTTATGGAGCCTGGCTCCAAACGAAGGGGTGTCTCTGCTTGGCCAGCCTACAAGTGCAAAATAACTCGTAGTATAGCAGGACTCAGAAGTTTCTACACAAATCATCCTTTTGATGAACTTGAGGATCCGTACATTTTAAGAAGAAATAGATTTTCCTTATTTTCTTTAAGAATGTTTCTTCTTTATGGCACAGCCTGTTAGAAGAACACATTTAAATTTAATATCTACTGAGATCAAAGATGGAGCCGTGGTTGGTGCACATGACCCATGAATGGAGGCCTCAGTCCTCTCCGTGGGTGACTATGCCTCCTTTGGACCGCCTTCTGGTTCCACCCCTACATTCAGATTTTGGAGTAAAAAAAAAACACAAAGATAACAAATAAAGTAGTTATTGTTGATTTTCACCACTTGAATTAGTCTATTAGATTCAACCCTGAGGAGATACAGGAACGTTTGGTATGACTGAAAAATGATAAAATGGGTGGAATATATCTTCCAGGCATTATGTCATTCTGCAGGTGGAGAACAATAGTGAAATATTGGAGACTAACACAGGTTTCCACTCAACATGCCAAAAAATTCATTTTCCTGAAAGCAGTCAGAGGGCTGTTCATTATCAGCTTCCTGTGTCCTCAAACATGGATGTTATCTAAAATAATTCATACAGTGGGTAGAAATGATGAACAGCTTGGACTCGTGTTAGTGTGTGTGTGTGGGAGCAGAGTAAAGTGCTACGGTGCCTCGCCGTACAGACGCCCTTCACATTCAGCCCATCCCTGCTGGATGGTGATTGCTCTTTTAAAAGGCGCCTATTTGGCAGCTCATTTTTCTCTCCTGATTTGATTCAAACACCTATTTCCCTCATCTGCACAGACAGGTGTGGAAACTCGCTGACCTCGAAAAACAAATATGAAAAGTAAGGACAGCTTGTTCTTCTAACCTGACATGCGTTTGTTTCTCCAGCCAACATGAGGCCTGGTTTCTCCTCCGTCCGTCTCCACATTTAAGGGATGAACAGGTTGGTCTGTCAGTAGCACTGAAGGCGTTTAAGATCGGCCTGTTTTATAAACGAAACAATACCGGTTCATCTAGCTGAAGAGTTAAACTGTTATTACAGTAAGAAGGTCTCCATTTCAAATTTATGAAATATCAAAGATCATTGATCAGTCTGAATAACTGGCAAAGTCCGGTCAGTGAGGAATAATCAATGGATCATTATTTATACCTAAAACTAATACATCTGCGGAGATTTAATGAATTTAGCGTTAATCCGTATTTTAAGTTTAATCCGTAATTTTTATCACAATCACTGCATCTGGGAGCGGCCATTTTTGCCCAAATATAGTAACCCCTCCCTCCTGCCATCTTCAAGCAGTGACGTCACGGTGCGGTAAGCTAGGGTGACCAAACGTCTGTTTTTCACGTCCTGCCCCTGGCGTCCCCGGTTTTTTTTAGAAAGTGAGGAAATGTCCTGTTTTTTAAATTACCTTAATTGGACCATTAAATTTACAGGCACTAGGGCCCTGCGCACGACGCTGCGTGTGACGTAATCCCTGAGCCGCGTCAGTGCGGGCAGCCCTGTTCTTAATCAGAATATAGATAGCGTGGCTGTCAGGACGCCAACAACATGCAAATGTATGTTTACCGACGATTTACTAAAGAGTTTCCCGCTTTCAGACTGGGTCGAGACAAACGGG